TTTAATTATTTCATTTCTCCCTTCCTCATCCTTCTTCCTTCAAACCCTTCCATATACCCCTCCCTTCTCTCCTTTAAATTAATACCTTTTTAAAACTAATTATTATTGTAAGCATACACACACACACACACACACACACATTCCTCAATATAATCTGTTTAGCTTGTACAGTGCTACCTGTATGTATGTTCTCAGGGATGGCCATTTGGTACTGGACAGCCTATTATGTGCTTTCCCTGGAGAAGGCCATCTCTCCTATTCCAGCTTTTCTCAGTAACCTATAGTTCTTTGTGTAGAATTGAGGCTCATGGGTTTTTCTCAGTCCTTTTTGGCATATCCATTGGTATCTTTTGGCAAGCATTACCTTTGGACAGAATATAATGTCCCTTGAATTACCCTTAAGAGAACAACATGAGACCTTCTAAGTAGCTGGTACAGGACTTGCTGTGTTGGTATATTTTAATTAGGGAGCTATTTACTGAGGAAGTAGATTTATTACCAAATTTAAAGTGTCACAGTAGCTTCCCTTCAGGTTTTCCTTGTCTTTATTCTTATGCAAGTGACCCTCAAAGATAACTTCCTCTTAGCTAAATGATAAAAGAAATGTAGTCACACAGGGGAGGTGTACTTTCCCTGAGTTTGCTCTTGGTTTTAATAAGATTGTCTTCACCATCACCCATATTCTAATTTTACTTTATAGCAACATTCTTTGCAAATTTAGAAGTGCCTTAACCCATGGGAGCATTGTGCAGAGCTCTTGACCGTGTATTCATTCCTTGCAAAGTATCACCCTCTTGTGGCTTTCCCATAAATTTTTAATATTTCCTTCATTCCTAGCTGCATTTTTATAACTGTAGTCTTTATTTCTTCTGGTTTTATTTTGACAGGATATATTGGAGCTATGGTCTATTTTTAATTTGTATTTATTGAGGTGCTAAGAAGATTAAGAAATTATTTACCATTTTGAGGAAGCATCTATTTTGTAGTTTTAACCTGTTTTGCTCTTCTTTCACAGATTGTATTCTGTGGACCCCGAGTGTTTTGCTTTGTGCAATACAGGGGTAGCAAAGTGCAAGTGACCCCCCAGGCCCTCTTCCACAGTGGCACTCTGTGTAACAAGCATTTGATAAAGGGCTTCTTTTCTCTTAAAATGTTGGCTAATCTTGTCAACAGATAAAGTCAGGATACCTATCAGCTGTTTAGTGACACATATTTATTTATTTATTTATTTATTTATTTATTTTTTCTCCCTTGAAAAATTCTCTTTTTCTCACAACCCCTTACTAGTTTCTTTTTTGTAACTTTTTATTAATTACACTTTATTCATTTTGTATCCCCCCATACGCCCCTCCCTCCTCCCCTCCCGATCCCACCCTCCCTCCCCTTTCTGCATGCATGCCACTCCCCAAGTCCACTGGTAGGGGAGGTTCTCCTCTTCTTTCTGATCTTAGTCTATCAGTTCTCATCAAAAGTGGCTGCATTGTCCTCTACTGTGGCCTGATAAGGCTGCTCCCCCCTCAGGGGGAAGTGATCAACGAGCAGGCCAATCAGATTATGAGTGACACATATTTAAAAGCAGCATAGAATTATGATTGATAATGAGAAATGTTATGTGCTGCCTTTCATATTCTGTGATAGAAATGGATTCTCAGTCTTTAGGGAGTGAATGCAGGTTGTTGGAGGGCGGCTTGGCAAACCATGTGGAGTATGCTAAGAAAGCAGGTTTTTCTCTACTGTGGAACTGCTATTTCTTCTCTGTAATTTATCCTGCCAACAGTGGCGCCTGTATTGCATGATAACAAGATGGTAGATGTGCTCCTTTAATGAGCAGAGGCAGTTTGCTTTTGTCCTCTCTTGTACCTACTTCTGCTGCTCTTCTCTGTGATATCACTGAGTCAGCGCTGACACCATGTAGCTCTCCTGCAGTCAGGACTGTAGTTAAGTGAAGTTTCTGGATTGGTGTTCGCTGGCTGGGATTTACATGTGGTCTTGTCATAAATTATACATTCCCACGAATACTGGATTTTATATTTACCTTTTCATTCTATTAATACTAGCCTCCATGGGTCCTAGTACAGTGTCATGCATTGGAGTTCTGGTAAATTTGGTGCCTTATTTCCAGGTTATGGAGTGACTATTAAGAATCTTAGCTGAATTATAGTTTAAAATCTAGTCCATTATAGTGGGTTTTCATTGCTGATATCATCTTGTGATATTTGGGCAATAGATACATTTTAAAGTTCAATTTACCAAGTTTTGGAAACAAAAGCAAATACATTTTTTTCTATGTTTGAACAGAATCCTTTGTATAAAGTTTTTCTTAATGAAACTTCTTTTTATTTTTTTTATTTTTATTTTTTAATTGAATTTTATTTTATTAATTACACTTTATTCACTTTGTATCCCCCCATAAGCCCCTCTCTTCTCCCCTCCCACTCCCACTTTCCCTCCCCCTTCTTCACGCATTCCCCTCCCCAAGTACACTGATAGGGGACGTCCTCCTCTCCTTCCTTCTGATCTCAGTCTATCATATCCCATCAGGAATGGCTGCATTGTCATCTTCTGTGGCCTGGTAAGGCTGCTCCCCCCTCAGGGGGAGGTGATCAAAGAGCAGGCCAATCAGATTATGTCAGAGTCAGTCCCTCTTCCCATTACTATGTAACCCACATGGACACTAAACTGCCATGGGCTACGTCTGTGCAGGGGTTCTACATTATCTTCATGCATGATACTTGGTTGGAGTATGAGTCTCTGGGAAGACCTCTGTGTTCAAATTTTCTGGTTCTGTTGTTCCCCTTGTGGGGAACAACACAAGATCTTACTATTTGCTGCTCTCAAGATCTTACTATTTGCTGCTTCTTACATAAGATTCCATGCACTCTGCCCAACAGTTGGCCATAAGTCTGAGTGTCTGCTTTGATAGTCTGCAGAGTAGAGCCTTTCAGAGGCCCTCTGTGGCAGGTTCCTAGGTTGTTTCCTGTTTTCTTCTTCTTCTGGTGTCCATCCTCTTTGCCTTTCGGGATGGGGATTGAGCATTTTAGTCAGGGTCCTCTCTCTTGATTAGTTTCTTTATATGTACAGATTTTAGTAGGTTTATCCTATATTATATGTCTGTATGAGTGAGTATATACCATGTGTGTCCTTCTGTTTCTGGGATAGCTCACTCAGAATGATCCTTTCCAGGTCCCACCATTTACCTGCAAATTTCATGATTTCCTTATTTTTCATTGCTGAGTAATACTCCATTGTGTAGATGTACCACAATTTCTGCATCCATTCTTCAGTTGAGGGGCATCTGGGCTGTTTCCAGCTTCTGGCTATTACAAATAAGGCTGCTACAAACATGGTTGAGCAAATGTCCTTATTGTGTACTTGAGCCTCTTTTGGATATATGCCTAGGAGTGGTATGGCTGGGTCTTGAGGAAGTGCTATTCCTAGTTGTCTGAGAAAGCGCCAGATTGATTTCCAGAGTGGTTGCACAAGTTTACATTCCCACCAGCAGTGGAGGAGGGTTCCCCTTTCAACCTCTCCAGCATGTGTTGTCACTTGAGTTTTTGATCTTGGCCATTCTAATGTATGTAAGGTGAAATTTCAGGGTCATTTTGATATTAAATTCCCTAAGTGCTAATGAAGTTGAACATTTCTTTAAGTGTTTCTCTGCCATTCAATATTCCTTTACAGAGAATTATCTGTTTAGCTCTGTTCCCCATTTTTTAATTGGATTACTTGGTTTGTTGCTTTTCAGCTTCTTTAGTTCTTTATATATACTGGATATTAGCCCTCTGTCAGAAAAAGGGTTGGTAAAGATTCTTTCCCAATGTAGGCAGTCGTTTTGTTTTGATGATCGTATCCTTTGCTTTACAGAAGCTTTTCAATTTCATGAGGTCCCATTTATTGATTGTTGCTCTTAGAGCCTGTGCTGTTGGTGTTCTGTTCAGGAAGTTGTCTCCTGTACCAATGAGTTCTAGGGTCTTCCCCACTTTTTCTTCTAACCAATTTAATGTGTTGGGTTTTATGTTGAAGTCTTTGATCCACTTGGACTTTAGTTTTGTGCAGGGTGATAAGTATGGATCTATTTGCCTTTTTCTACATGTAGACATCCAGTTAGACCAGCACCATTTCTTGAAGATGCTATCTTTTTTCTATTGTATGGTTTTGGCATCTTTGTTAAAGATCAGGTGTCCATAATTTTGTGGGTTTATTTCTGGGTCTTCTGAGCAGACGCTGAGACTTATGGCCAACTCTTGGGCAGAGTGCATGGAATCTTATGTAAGAAGCAGCAAATAGTAAGATCTTGAGAGGACAGGAACTCCACAAGGAGAGCAATAGAACCAGAAAATTTGAACACAGGGGTCTTCCCAGAGACTCATACTCCAACCAAGTACCATGCATGGAGATAACCTAGAACCCCTGCTTAGATGTAGCCCATGGCAGTTTAGTGTCCATGTGGGTTACATAGTAATGGGAAGAAGGACTGACTCTGACATAATCTGATTGGCCTGCTCTTTGATCACCTCCCCCTGAGGGGGGAGCAGCCTTACCAGGCCACAGAAGATGACAATGCAGCCACTCCTCATGAGATCTGATAGACTAAGATCAGAAGGAAGGAGAGGAGGACGTCCCCTATCAGTGTACTTGGGGAGGGTCATGCGTGAAGAAGGGGGAGAAAGAGTGGGATTGGGAGGGGAAAAGGGAGGGGCTTATGGGGGGAAACAAAGTGAATAAAGTGTAATTAATAAAAGTTAAAAAAATAAATAAAAATTAAAAAAAACAAAAACAAAACAACAACAACAAAAAGGCACACACTGAAACAATGTAACATTTAGAAAAGTTCTGAGCAAACCACCATTACTCTTGGACACTTAAGTGTGTGCTATGCTATTTCCCAGTGAGAGAAATATCCATTCTCTGCCCTTTTCTCAGTACCTTATTATAAATACATTTTGTGAATTAGTAATGCAAAAGTGCTTTTGATTTTTAAATGTGTCTTATTATCACAGGTCGATGGTACTAACCTTCAGGGTTTCACCAATCAACAAGCAGTAGAGGTGTTACGTCATACAGGACAGACAGTGCGCCTGACACTGATGAGGAAGGGAACAAGACAGGAAGCGGAGATCACATCCAGAGAAGACACCTCAAAAGATGTGGACCTCCCACCTGGTAGAGACCCTTGTGTTATTTTAGCATTTTCTTATAACTCTACAATAATTTATGTAGAAAACTGTTTTGTATTAGCTGGAACCGCAGACTTGTGCATTTACTTTAGAGTGGGCTGTTGAGTCTCCCCATTACTGTTTCTCAGTTGGAGATAGATTCCTCTTCCTTTCTTTCCCTACCTTAAGTTAGGTGTCATCAAGGTTTTCTCTTGGGGCAGGGGGAGTGCAGTTCTGTTTGATGCTCTTATAAAGTATGTGCCAGGGCCATAGATGGTGTGTGTGTGTGTGTGTGTGTGTGTGTGTGTGTGTGTGTGTGTGTGTATGTGTGTGTTGTGTGTATGTGTGTGTGCCATGACATATGTGGCAGTCAGAGGATGGTCTCAGGTGTCCATCATTGTCTTTTACCTTATTTGTTTTTTACCACTGTTTATGGCTCAGCTAGCTGTCCCACAAGCTTCTGGGAATGTTCCATGAATATCTCTGTAGATCACTGAAATAATCAGCAGTGCGTGACTCTTGCATGGAAAGGTGTTTTATTTCTAACAGTGTTGAGCTTTGTGCCATGTATTATGTAATGCATTCCTACGTAATCGGTGGCAGGTTTCTGGAAACTCCTAGCCCACTTACAGGAAGACGTTAAGTGCATGTGGTTACTGTGGAGTTTGTCTCTTTAAAATTGCCTCTAATCAGTGGTTCAAACAAATAAAATGGGTTTAGAAAAAATCACTTGCTTTTATTATCCTGTAGATATATCTATTAAAATATTTTATCTTTAAGAAAATCATGAAAAAGATGAAGAATCTTTATCATTGAGAAGAAATGCCAGCATACTGCCAATTGAAGAAGAAGGTAACACTTAGAGCCAAGCTCTGGTTTTCTTATGTCTCAGACAGGGTGCTTGCAAAGAGATTAAGCCTTTATGACAGACTGTGACTTAAGAAAACCATTATAGACATTGCTAACCTCTTAGGAAATGTGAGATCAATAAATCTGTATTTGTCAATAGGATTAAGTGGTTTTTTAGATTAAAATAATTAAGTTATAGCATGAGAGATAGTTTTCTTGCTGAATCAGTCTGTTCTGTGACATATGCACACACTTGCTGACATGCACGCACATATGCACTAGAGTTACTCTTGAGGTATCTATTAGTAATGCAGATAATTTTACCTTCATAGATATATACATGTATACACACTTCATACGTCCCTACCCAACTGTGAAGCATTAATAGTAAAATAGAAAGTATTTAAAAACAAACATGCAGACTCTTTTAGATATTTAGGAATACAAATATGTTTTCTGGTGTGAGGATTGTTTTCTGAGGCGAAGTGTTGCTATATGGCCCAGGCTGAGCCCTGAGTGCTGGATTTCAGGCATGCATTACCACTTCTGAGTAAAACTGTCTTGTTTTGATATTTAATGTTGGGAACTTGGTTGGATAGCAGTTCTGTAGAGGAATTGCTAAGACCGTCTAAGAATTCTTCTCACTGTAGGTTTTTAGGATCTATTGTTTTAACATATTTCACACCAAATATGCCCTCTTTTTATACCATGTGCTTCCTGCTTCTTTCCCCTGTCCCACTGTTGGATATTTCGTGGTTTAAAGCCCCTGATCAAGTGGAAAACTATTTCTCTCTGGTAGTGTGGATTTTGCTCTTCAGCAAGTACACAGAAGCCTTTTTCCTGTGTTTGTGGATTCATTATTAAATTTCTTCTGCTGTTGGTTGTACTTTTCTTTTATTGTATAAAGAGGTTTTGTATACGTAACATTATCCTGTGGAAAAAATGTGTAGGGTTCATACATATTAATTACATTCTGCCATTTTTTCACTAATTAGTAAAGAAAATACTTAGGCTAACGCGAATATCATGAATAGGGGGAAAGGATGAAACTGCTAAGAACTTATCTTGAAATAGGAAGTTAAGATGGGCACAAGGGGCTTTGTTCTAAATTCAGAATCATCTATTTTGCTATGGAAAAGGCAGCTAATGAGAAATTTGCATATGTGTGTGGAAGTATAGTTGGGGTTATCACCTCCAGATGTACAACCAGGAGCCCTTGAATTATTTACAAAAATTAAATGAAGAAGAACCCTGGAAATGGTTCCAGTGTACCTACCCTGTCCATCATTACAGGGTGGGATGCCATTGCCCATCCTCAGGAAGGTGACTCAGTGGAGCATGGCCACTTGACTGTTCACCAGTGTTGGAGGACAGGGCTCTGCAGCTTTTTGCTTGTATTTTTAAATTTTTGAAATGTAGTCTGGGAGATAAGAATGTCCTGGTCTTGGATTTGCTGGATAAATATGAATCTCAGACATCACCTGATTTCCCATATTCCATTTATAATTCCACAATATATTCCTGTTGAGCTGTATGAGCACAAAGGAATGACTAAGGGTGAGCTGGGAGAAATGACCTCTGCTCCCAGAATTAGATGTAAAGATTCCTTATGAGCCTGACTCACTGCTGACTGTTATCCCCCAATAACTAAATTTAAATTTGAAGAGAAAACGCTATTCACAGGGATAGTTTCCAGTCTTGTTTGCATTGTTCTGTAAGCTAGAGATTGAATCTAGGACTTTGCACATTACCAAACTACTTGTATCAACTTTGTCCAGCTTCTCAAAATCAGAATCATTAAATAAAGCATGATGAGCCTGGATGAGAGAGAAGGCTACTAGTAGGAATCTGAATTTTGGAATATTCCTTAGGTTAATTTAAAGACTGTGGGGTACAGAGGTTCTAAAGAGAGAGGAACCTTTATGAGTAAGCACCAAGTGACATTTATGTAGGGCTAGGGCTGTAGCTCAGTGGAAGAGGTCTTATAGAAATAGAGACACACAGAGGTGCTCCTCACCAGTCCTAGCTTTCAGAGGCACCTTCTGCATTTGGAATATTTATGTCACTGTGTTGATGGTTTTTCTTCTTTTTTGGCAAATTAGTGGGATTCTAACTATAGGTTTTATTTTAATATACATTTTCAGTTCTTCATTGTTTCATACTCTTATTTATATTTTCCCATCATTCATGGAGTTGTGTGTTATTCATTTATTTGTTTTGTGTGGGAGGTTATATCATAGCCCTCTTTTCTCCTGACCTCACTTTTATTGTAATAGTAGATTAGCTGGTGGGTCTGAGAGTAACCCAGGGTCCTTGTTCTTTTAATGAATTTTATATAATATATGGAGACTTAAGTAGAAAGACTAGTTAAAGTTTAAAGGCTGTCTACTAAGAAAGGATACTGTTGCATATGCAAGCATTAGTCTAAATTAGACCATCAAAGTTCAATAAAATATGAGGGAAACTATGTATTGGCTGAAGAGTCTACAAGGTGCAAGACAAAGGTTTTGCTTTGTTTTCCTGGTGTAGAAGGTGAGTGTTATGTGCTGGCACTAATTTCACTACTTAAACTATTTCAGGGTATCCTTTGTTGTCAGCTGAGCTGGAAGAAGCTGAAGATGTGCAGCAAGAGGCTGCTCTGCTAACAAAGTGGCAGCGGATTATGGGAAATAATTATGAAATAGTGGTAGGTTAGCTTCTTCTTTCTGTTTCCTGACTTGTACCTATGTCTGAGCAGGAAATTCTTGGTGAAAATGAAGGTAATCACTGGAATGAGCCCTGGAGAGAGGTTAAATGTCTAGAGCTCTTCAAAAGCTGTAATGATAGCCAAGGACCTGAAAGACATGGTTTGCAAGTTTTTAAGAACTCATGTGTCATCTTACTTTATTCTTTCTGGGAGTGGTATAAATTATATGTATGTATGTATATGTTTATATGTTTATGTTTATATGTTTATATACATATGTATATATGTTTATATATATTACTTACATATATACGAGGTTTTCCTGATTCTTAAGCATGTGATTTATACCAAGAACCAGAACAGAATATCAGTTTACATTGAATAAGTTATAGCTTATCATGACCTCTGACAATCGGCTCCTTTCCTGTCTACATTCTTTCCTTCAGTCCTTCTTTCCTTATTGAAAAAAAAAAAGCCACTTAAGGCAAAATGTCATGTAGCCCAGGCTGGCCTCAGTTTCTCTGTATAGACTAAGAGGACCATAAGTCCCAGATCCTCCTGCTTTCATTTCCCTAGAGTTGGACATACAAGAGTACACCATACTCTTAACTGTCACTCCCTTCCTTTATCACTCTTATGTACTTAGCTTTTGTAATATATTGATTCTGCTTTACTTTTCCTATCAATTACAGCAATGTTTGATTTTTATTAGCAGTGTGTATCATGGCTTTCAATATAAAAAGTAACAAAGTTGACACATATCATTAAAATATCAGGGAATTCAAAAGCTTAAGTAAAATACTATATTAGGTGTATTTTTTCATATTTAGAATACCCTTGTACTCTGGGTTAGAAGAGGTGACAGAAAGCAGATAACATTTACGTAGCACTGACCTTAATGGCTAAGCCTGCTTGCAGTTCATTTGCATGGCAGTACCTATTTTTAAAAACTCCAGGTGTTTAACAGTTAAATAAAAAAATGAGTGAGTATAGCCATGAGCATTGTAACTCTAACTTGGGAAGGAATACAACGGGATCCAGGTGAAGAGTGGTTAATTTAGCACTGACCTTGTGGGTGGGAGTAACGTAGCTGGCATACACAGCAGATACCTGCTGTTTAGGTTGGAATAGAATGGGGGGGGGGTCCCTGAAAAGCCATTTCATCTATATCAGAATCAAGATGGAACCTTTAATGCCCCCTGTTTACCCCTCGTCTGGATGGTACTCCCCATACTCTCTTAAGAGCAGAAGTGAGTTGTAAGACAAGACCACCTCATTTGTAATTCTTGCTTAGGTAAAGGGTAGTAGCTCTGCCTTCTCCTTGCCTGTTATGTGCTTGGAAGCATTCATATAATTATAGAGGCGTAGTATAGCTGAGATGGCTGGTGGCTTCAGTGGGGACCTGGCTGTTTCTTAGAGAAATTGAGCTCAAAATTGGGTTTACAGGGATGAGAGGAATGCTGCCCAACGTCACAGCTCAGAGTCAGGTGACTTCATTATGATACTGGCCTTTCATCAGCTGCCATTAAGATATGAAAGGTCTTGCTTGCTAGATTTATTTGTTTATGAGGAATGACACATGGCACCCCATAATATTCATAAATACAAGTCCCAGGTATGCAGTTTTCCAGGCAGTCAGCTGTGCTCAGGTCTGCAATAATTTTTGCCTACCTCCAATTAACTATCAGCCTTAGTAGGCTCTGAGAATGCTCCTGGATACTCATGGCTGGGCATTTCCCTGTAGTCTTGGTCTGTGAAACCATTAGACATCAGGATTTCCCCCTGGCAGTGATAGGCAGCTGACAGTAAGATTTTTGAAGCTTATTGTGAGAAGTTTGACTTTTCTTTTGGATGAACTTACAATATTTACATGAGTAGAAAAACAAGAGAAGAATGTTAGATGTGATGATTGTCTCATTTCAGGTGGCTCACGTGAACAAGTTTAGTGAGAACAGTGGGCTGGGGATCAGTCTGGAAGCGACCGTGGGCCACCACTTCATCCGCTCTGTTCTACCGGAAGGCCCCGTGGGACACAGTGGGAAGCTCTTCAGTGGAGATGAACTACTGGAAGTAAGGAGCTCTGGATGCCTTTTCTCTGCTGCTGATGCAAGATGGGAGCGGCTGCTGTGAATAACTAAGTCATAAAGTTAACCCAAAACAGGAGTACCAAAGCTATGTGTGCACACTGAGCTGCAGATCCAGTTCCATATGTTCCCTTTTAGTGGTTTTTGTTTTGTTGTGTTTTATGCTGTTTTAGCTTCCGAGACTGTGCAACTTTCTATGACATTTTTTTTTTAAATTTTTATTCAGTTCTCAGATAGGCAACACCTTCATATGCTTCCATAGAGAATAATGACAAACAGTGAGTGTGTCCTTTCTGTCCCCACTCGCTCAGTTCTTGTCACTCAGTATCTATCTACTGGTATTTGTTTCTCTGCAATCTGTCAATGTTTTTTAAATGCAGAAATAAGAAAAAAATTGAAAAAAGTATTTCCAGTTTTAAAAACACATTAGCATACTATATATCCCATTTCCAGTTTTTCTTAGTAAATTCATTAAATGCTAATTCTTTGTAGTTTTTTTTTTTCTCCTGCATCCTTTGGGCATATTTTTATTCTGTCTTCCTACTGTACAGATGCAGATCAAAGCTAGAGAGAGGCAAAGTTTTGCCATGAGTGCTTGAGAAGCCCCAGTTACAGCCAGATTCCAAACTTTCATATAGAGCCATTTAGTAATACTCAAGTCTAACTTCAGTTCCAGGCATGGTAGAGCCACAGTGATTACCATAGTGAAATTTATGTTCCTGGAAAAATGGTGCACCCATGTTCCCAATACACAATTGTGAAAAAGAAGTATAACACAAGCAAGACCTTTGTATTATGAAACTTACTTTGTGTGGACCATGTGCATTTTTCTGCAGGTGAATGGTATAAATTTGCTTGGGGAAAATCATCAAGATGTGGTCAATATTTTAAAAGAATTGCCTATAGATGTGACAATGGTGTGCTGCCGTCGATCTGGGCCACCCAGTACCTCATCAGAATTGGATAGCCTGGATATAGCTGATCTTGAACTAACAGAAAAGGTATCGTATTTGCAGAAACAAGACTAATTTGAATACATAATGGCAAGGCTTAGTAGTGTTAGAATGTTAAGCCATTTTTTATTTTTCTAATACTTGATTTTTTTCACATAATTTCTAGTCAGACAGCCTGGCGTTGAATAAAAATAGATGCTTATTCTGATTAAGTCACCTTACCTTTCTGAATGTCAGTTTCTGTGAGATGTAGGAAAGGAGAATGCCCATCTCATGGAGACTCTCTGCAGGTGAAGATAGTTACAGTAGGTTCCACTGCACACTCTATACTTGACAGTAAGTCCTGCTCCACACTGGGCACTTGAGAGTATGTTCCTCTGCACACGGTGTGCTTGGCCGTGGGTAACACTGCACACTATGTATTTGCAGCCTTCCCGTTGGTTCTGTCCCAGTTGGTGGAGGATGCAAACAGTGTATGTGTGGTACACGGATGGAAAAGCATACTTTTATATACCTATCCAGCCATGTCTGGTGTGCAGTTAACCGTTTAGTGAATAGCTAAAATATATAAAGTTATATTTTAGTGTGTATGTATTAATTTATTTGTGCATTTTAGTTTGAGAATATGAGAAAGTTAACTCATAACTCATCAAATGATTTTCTGTGATGTTCATTTTCCTATCTGCTTTTTCTTTTTTTTTGCCTTTTTAAAAATTGTTATTGTTTTATTAATTACAGTTTATTCACTTTGTGTCTGAGCTATGGCCCCCTCCTTAGTCCCTTCCCAATCCTACCCTCCCTTCATCATCTCCCATGCCCCTCCCCAAGTCGACTGATAGGGGAGGTCCTCCTCCCCTTCCCTCTGATCCTAGTTTATCAGTTCTCATCAGGACTGGCTGCATTGTTTTTTTATGTGGCCTGGTAAGGCTGCACCCCTCTCAGGGGGAGGTGATCAAAGCTATCTGCTTATTCTTATCTGTTTGACTCACAATGTCCAAAAACAGAGCTAATCACGTTTTTGGAAGATGTGCTGTACACATTTAGCAGAGGACTCTAGTCAGAACTCATGAGGAATGTATTTCCTTTACATAATGATGAGGGAATCAATACAGTAGAATAATTTTGCAACTTAAAAGGATAAAGTGCATAGTTTACTATCTACATGGGTGATCATAATAGGGCAGAACAAGAAACATAATTCTAATTGTGTGCTACTTCAAGGCTGAGCCATGTCTATTCACGCATATGGTTTGTGGTATTGATGGGATGGTTGCAGGGGGAAGACTGCGTTCATAGCTCTAGGCAGCGTAATAGATTATTGAAAGCAATAAAATAATTTTATCCTGACATTTTTCTTAAATTTAATATGTTCATACAGATAAATGTGGTTGGATTAACGTATTTTCACTTTGATATGTTTTTCTTGAGAGGAGCTAACATTTGAAGCCAAGTTCCTGTATCAAGTGTAATCCACATAATTCTGTGCACTCTGGAGGCCTTATTTGCATATAATATAAAACGATACACATAGCCACTTTTCCTTGAATTTATCTTACTCATCATGTGTTCTTTTTAGTTAGTAACAACATCATACTTAAAAAAATTCTTTGTATAGAGTTGGTTCAGACTTATACAAGAAGGAATCCATAAATTGTGTTGTATTTATATAACCACTGAATACGCTTATAACAATTCTTACTTATATCTTTAATGCCTGTTATGACTTGAGTTTTTGAGAATACCTTGTTTGGTACAGACCTAGAAACCCAACCTTTTTCATGCAGTGTTGTTACAAGTGTCAAAGCTCTTCCCTCTGAAATAAGAGACGCTTGCTCTGTTATCCAGCCTCATATCGATCTAGGAGAGTTCATCGGGTCCTCCGAGACAGAGGATACCATGCTGGCCATGCCTGATGTGGATCAGAATGTGGAGGAGGTCCAAACACCACTGGCCATGTGGGAGGCTGGCATTCAGTGCATAGAGCTGGAGAAAGGAAACAGAGGCCTTGGCTTCAGCATTTTAGACTATCAGGTAACTATCCCCCCCCTTTTTAAATTACTGAAAGGATACCGTATTTTAAAAGTAAATTGTTACTAGCAACTGTAAAATATTATTTATAGTTAGTAATGACATTTTTTGTTCAAATTAATTGCTCAGGATAATAATGTAATCAGTGTGATTTCTTTTTATTACAAAAGGTTTGTTTTAGCATTATATTAATTGAAATGTGTTTTATGTTTCAATTCGAGAAACTGAGGAAACCACAGAATACATTTTAGGAGTATCATAATACAGTAGGTTCTTTCTGTCATTGGGTAATCTTTTATTTCCATGTTCTTAATTTGTGGCTTTCATTTTAGTGGCAAGCCATAAAGTATTAGCTATTTGTTTCTTTTATATAATATGAAGATGAACGTATACTTGGATATACCATAAATACCATGGCATTCCTGTCATTTTACTAAATCCATGGTTTAAATTGGCTCAGTGCAGCCTCACCCTTCCATGGAGAGAGAGAGAGAGAGAGAGAGAGAGATTTATATATCTATATATTTATCTATTTATTGCTGGGCAAATGTGGAAATGCTAAACGCTGTCTGATGGAACGCAGGTATTACTCTTGAAAGTTCTGAACGCAAGCTGTTTCTGATGACTCCAGACGGTGTGCTTGTAGCACAAATGCTGCATATCTTCTTTTTGTATTTATTCATATCTAAAGGAGAAGACCTACTTCAAAGTGCATCTATCCACTCTTCAAATGCTGTTGTTACTAATAATGCCCTTGACCTCTAGCTTCAAGTTGTAGCTTAAAACCTTAGCAGTGTCCGAAAGTTAAAATAGCCAAAATTCCATCTTGAAGTTATCTAGCCTTATCTAGAGGTCTATTTAACAACAGTAGTAAATGAGGCTTCCATTGTTTCTGCTGAACTCTTTTGACCTTTCTAAATTGAAATAGATACTAGTATTTGTTCTAAGTATTTGTTAGAACCTCATATGAAAACCTTAATGCACTTGAAGCATTTAGAGGGGGCAACTTGTAAAATATATTTCCTGCGTCTGATTAAGCTGACTGCTCTTCCCCATCCTGCTCTGTTAGGACCCCATCGACCCAGCAAGCACCGTGATAGTCATTCGTTCTCTGGTACCTGGTGGCATTGCTGAAAAGGATGGTCGACTTCTTCCTGGAGACAGACTCATGTTTGTCAATGACATTAACCTGGAAAACAGCAGCCTTGAAGAGGCAGTGGAAGCCCTGAAGGGAGCGCCCTCAGGGATGGTGCGGATAGGAGTGGCCAAGCCTTTGCCTGTAAGGACGTGGATTTTATAGACTTCTTGTATATCTGCAAGGGAAATGGCTGGGAGAACAGAATAGTCACTTAGAGTCAAAGTTTTTTTTTATAGTTCCAAAACAATATTTGATGTTTCATACTCCCTTTGCAGTGAAACATCTGAGTATTTCTGTCACTTAAGTGGGGCTCAATAAATAATAATCTTAAATTTGTGAGCAAATAAAATATTTTTTTTTGTATAAAAGTTCTATATGGGTTAATGACACCAGGTGATATGGTAAGACAACTGGTATTTTCTCTTTTTATTAGAAAGTAAAATACCAGTGTGGAGTTGTTAGTGTCTTAGTGGACTCACAGGGTGAGTTCAGGAGGAGCATTCAAGCAGATGGCACCTCTGAACACTTTAGTTTTATTTGGTCCTCCTGTAAGCTGTGTTGGATTTAAGATCACGTGTTGTGCCCCCCTGAATTGTAGGGAGCAAGCGATTGTTGTAAGTGTTTTCAAAGTTTCTTACAGGAATTCTAATGACTACCTAGGAAAAGGTGCTCTCACTATAGAGAAGTTGGATGAGAGCACCGTGTCCTCAGTAACATTCCTTCTCAAGTAAATTGCATCCTTTATAGTAACACTTGACAAAGTATTAAAGTCTTAATACTTAAGTTTTGCCTTTCATTATTTAGCCAGAATATTTATCAGTTATATGACCATAAAGTTATTATAAAATCCATTGATTTTATTATCATTTGTAAGAAGAATAAAAAAAATAGTAGAAAGGAATACTCATCTAATTGTTGGTGGTTATGCTAAGAAAAAGGCCTCTGAATCCTTTTAAATGAAATGATTAGGATCAGTGTTTGCTTAACTTTGTAGTTTTCATTCTATACTGAATTCATATGTTATCACTTGACGGCTCATCATCCCTTTTTCTTCTTTGGCTTATGCCCCTTTCTCCTTTCCCGCCATCTTTGCTGTTCTTTCTTTCCTGAAAACCCATTCTCCACACCAATGCCTGCAGATTTCACCAGAAGAAGGATATGTTTCTGCTAAGGAGGATGCCTTTTTCTGCCCACCACCCTCCTGCAAGGAGCCAGGCCTGCCTGACAAAGCCCTCTTCAGGGCCGACTTGGCTATGGTTAGTGACCACAACCAATCAAGGCTTCTTTTTAAATTCATATAAATTTTACTTTTAAAACTCATTCTGCTACAGTTTTATTGAATTGCTTATTTGGTGTTTGTGGAAGTTCAATGTGCAAAAATTGCCTTAAACTGGAACATGAAGTAGGTCTTTGACATAATATATTATGCCAATACTAATTTGGAAGGGAAATAATTCTTTTTGATAGTGTTTTAAAATTATAAGTTCTTGAGTAGCTATTTTTATTAAGTTTGGATGTATTTACTGTAAGTTTAATACCTTCACCTACTTAAAATATGAGGTGACTTTTTCCCCTCCAGGGGCATTATAATCTAATCTAGAGTGATGTGGACTTTGTGAGGTGCTATGATGTTAAGTCATACCTTGCCATAGAAATTCACTTTGAAACATCTCAGGACACAGAGATATCATTCGTTCATTTTTTTCATTCATTTTTGTTTTGGGAGACAGTCTTTATGTTGCCATGGCTTGTCTGCAACCCACAGTCATCCTTCCACCTGCCTCTGCCTTTGAGTTCTGGGATTAAAGCCATATGCAGTCATATTCAACTCATCTTCTCTAGGGTTTAGGAGACATTTTTGAACCCCATTACATGAATGACAATTGAGAATTACTTCCATACTCATTGAAGTTGAGTTCCTTGTATTAGTTACAAGAGTCCTCAGTCTTTCTAAAGAGCTCTGTTTTTGTTGTTTTTTGTTTGTTTTGTTTTGTTTTGTTTTTATTTTTAAAACTGGTCACTCAACTTCTTGGGACCTTATATTTCATCTATACAGTAATTAAGGTAACTGAATTTTAGAATCTCTTAAGATTTAAAGGCATCATTAATAGTGAAAAAAGTTCTATTTGAGTATTCTTTTCAGTACGACTTTAAAACAAACCTTTATCTATTTTAAGCTGGCATAAGTTTCAGTTAATACTATCTGTCTAGATAGCACACACAAAGTATTTATCACCCAGATCCTTTTATACAATGTATATTTGTAGAAGATAATATCTACATAGTGACTTTTTAGTGAATTTGAACAAATATTTGAAATATGTTATCAGCTTGTGAATTATATTTTAAGACAATCACTTTGAAATATTTTGCAGCATTTTAACAACTTTTCATAGTAAATGTAGGTTGCTAGTGTTAAAATGCTTATTACTTACTGCCTCTGGTAACTAGTCCAGAATCTGGCCACTTCAATGTTAGTGTGATTCTAGCTCAAACATAAAGTTTCTCTTTGGTTTCTCCATCTTAGCCTAATAGACAATCACGAAGCTACCTTTATGAATAATGGTTTATTAGTTGAATATGAAGAAAGACAACCTAATTTTTTTAAGATGTAATCAGTTAGCCCATTTCTTTATTATTATTATTATTATTATTATTATCATCATTTATTACAGTTTATTCAATTCGTATCCCTGCTGTGGCCCCCTCCTTCATCTCCTCTTAATACTACTCTCCCTTCCTCTTTTCCCTCTATACCCCTTCCCTAGTCCACTGATAGGGGAGGTCCTCCTCCCCTTCTATTTGACCCTAGCCTATCAGGTCTCATCAGGACTGGTTGCATTGTCTTCCTCTGTGTCCTGGCAAGGCTGCACCCCCACCCCCAAAGGAAGGTGATCAGAGAGCCAGCCACTGAGTTCATGCCAGAAAAAGCCCCTGCTTCCTTTCCTAGGGACCCCACTTGGAGACTGAGTCTATGGGCTACATCTGAGCCTGGGTTTTAGGTCATCTCCATACATTGTCCTTGGTTGGATAACCTAATTCTTTACATCATAAAATATTATGTATTTTCCTTGCTTATATAACTATTTAAACTTAGAGTTGATTAATCCCCTTGTTAATTGTTCCCTTTAGCTCTTAAGTTGATGGGATGAAATCTTGTGCTGCTGTATCAGTGCATCTTTCAAGCAGTTAAGAGGAGGAAAGCCCATGCGGAAAACAGAAAAGACAAAGGCACAACTGTGCCTTCTAGCTCAAGTTGTGACAGTGATGTGTGATAGGGTGCGGTAACCAGCTGGTCCTACTTTATTCCCAGATAGATGCAGCTGATGCTGAGTCAGGAGCTGAATCAAGATTTGAGTCTCCATCATCTCCCGATAACGACAGTGTCTACTCTACGCAAGCTTCTGCCTTATCTCTTCATGATAGTAGTTGTAGTGATGTCATGAACTACGGCCCCTCCCTCCCATCATCTCCTCCCAAGGTACAACAGAAATGTTACTTCACTTTGGAGAAATGTCTGTGTGTATCCTTTTCGAGATCAGAGTTTCTGGGAATTATAGGAGTAGCAAGTCTTAGTTACTGTTATCTTGCTGTGAAGAGTCACCGTGAGGAAGGTAACCATAAAAAGAAAGCATTTAGCTCGGGGCTTGCTTACAGTGTCAGAGGATTAGTCCATGATCATGGCAGGGAATATGGCAGCAGGCAGGCAGGCAGGTGTGTCATTGCAGTGGTAGCTAAGAGCTTATATCTTATCCATTAACAAGAGACAGATAGATGGTGAGACTGGACCTGGCATGGGCTTCTGAAACCTCAGAGCCCACACCCAGTGTCACACCTCCTTCAACAAGGCCACACCTCCTAATCCTTCCAAACAGTCCACCAACTAGGAGCCAAACATTCAAATATGTGAGGCTATGGAGGCCATTCTCCTTCAAACAACCACATAACGTATTAATGATGTCAGATTTCTCCAGCCACAAATTCACATCAGATCAGAGTACAGTTTCACTTATGTTGTTTGATTGTTTGGAAAACGTAAAGTGACTTTATTGTGCCTTTTTTTTTAAACTGATGGTTATGCAAAAGGAGATAGTAAAACTTTTTGTTATAATGTAACAATTACTAGCTATTTGAAACTTAGTTATGTAACGTGACATCTAAGGATACATAAAGGTTGTGATGGAAGGCGTGTATGTGTAGTCACTGTGTGACACATCTGCTGTCTGTGCCTTAAAAACGATTCTTAGTGTGCATGCTAATACTCTATTATTTCTTGGTGATATGCCCTACCTAGAACATTCAAAAGTAACATTTTAAAAACCTGTGCAAAATTTTAAGTACAAATAGGCACGTTGGTATGTATTTTAATTTGGATTTTCTGATAGCTAGAGACTGTGTGTTTCTCTGTATTTTCACCATTTGTTTTTCACTTATTGTTGATTTCTACATTTATTTCAGTCATTTTTTTTCTTTTATATTGGCTGCTTATTCTGTTGATATGTTTAGAATCTCTGAGAAGTGATTTATAAAGCAAATGTGTGTGTGTATGTGTGTGTGTGTGTCCACATTAGAGAAAAACCTAAAGTGTGTGGGTGTGGTACTTACCAAGTTCGGGACAGATGTTACTTTGAAGAAAACCATGGCGTATGGAAATGCTACTCACTGTCTGATTTAACTGTTGTGTCCAACAGTGACTGAGTATAGAGCAAGGCGTCTAGGCAGTTGGTGTGTGGATATAATTTCTCTGTTGGAACTATACAGTAAATGAACATGAAGATAAAGAGACTTGAGGACACTTTTTCTGTGTTTTCCTCATTCATTGAATTCAGTGGGAAAGGGCCCCAGACATGAGGACATTGGGAGCCTGTTTCATTAGGTCTGGCTTTGCTTTCTTCTTTTGCTGATTAACAGTTACTTTGGGCCAGGACATTGCAGAGCATTTTGTGTTTTGTCTGAGGTGCAGCTGTCCCTTTGCCCATGCCACCAGGCACCCTCCTGGATTTGCTTGCACGGTTAGGTCTTGAGTGAACAGCCGCTCCTTGCCTGCACACTAGAGGTCCCTGGCTGCAGCCTGCCTGGACTGTGTTCATCCCTGACCGGCCTCTGGCTGGAAGCTGATTCCATCTCCTCGTGGGAATCGGAATCCGTAGCTTTGCACACTTCTTCTTGCCAGTGGGACAGATTGCATTGTTTAGTGGAGTAATTATTACTTACAGGGATTACACAATCTGCATACTGAGAAGCATATATTTTTACGGGGCAGACACTGGCTATATGCAGCACAACATACTGACTAAGTCTGCCTCTTTTTTTTCTAAGCAGTTTACTCTTTTGTTGAATCAAAGTTTGGCAAGCTGGCCTGACAACTGAAATATGTAAATAAAAAGCAACAAATAAGACAATAATGAGGCTGTTTAAACCTCCTCTGGGATTTCTGTTTTCTAAGTTAAATACTGCATCTGATATTTTTGTGTGTTATGCTTTTGTTTGTTTGTCTCTGAATTTTAGTACCTAGATCTCTACTGGGAAAAAAATTATAAAACCTGAGTAAAACTGTTTGTACTGAGCTCACCATATAGGATTTGTTAAGAAATTCAGAATTGACCTTTTGGTAAGAATGTAAGCTTACCTCAGGACTTTCTAATTAATAAACAGAAGCCATTCGCATCTATGGCTATTCAAGTATATGTGGTTATGTACACTATCTGAACATAGCATACACGTGGGCATTGAAGAAAAACAAGGACACTGGCTTGCATTTGTATGAATGATGAAGCAGAGCCCTAAGATATCAGCCTTTCTTGCAGTTTTTGACTTAGTATGTGGAGGCTGGAATGACGCTCACCTCCGTGCAGACGTGTCTTTACAGCGTGGCCGGGTATGCCCCTGGGATCTCCAGGTGCTGATTTTGGAGCATGTGCCTGCCCTGTGGGGAAGCCTTGAGCTTCAGAGCAGAGTTGAGCTTTGTGCAGCAGGCCAAGCAGCTGGGAGTGGCTGCATCTGTTCACATAAGTCTCCCAGTTTGGCAGGGGAGGGTGTATATTACACTTTAATTTCATTCACTAATAGTTACAAATTTAAATTATCTATTGCTGTGTTATTTGTGTTATAGTCAGTCTAGTAAAATTCTCTTTAGGTAGCCTCCCCATCACTTACAGGCTCTTTTAAAAAATATTTCTTTCTTTCTTTCTTTCTTTCTTTCTTTCTTTCTTTCTTTCTTTCTTTCTTTCT